AGAGAAAATTCTTACACTAAGCACTACAAGTTTTTTCAAAATTCTTCACAAAGTTCTAGAACAGGGATCTGAAACATGACTTGTGTTGAAGCTGGAAAGTAAGGGGGAAGTAATGTGGATTTTAATATATTCTTATATTTCCTGCATGGATAAGTCACCTTCTGAACCCAAAAGCCCTAAAAAAGGACCATAATGTTGTTGTTCTTACAGAAAAATCAACCGGCACTATCACCAATGTAGAAATATTTCTCCAGTGTAGACGGAAAATTAACACACAAGAAAAATGCGTGAGGAATAGATTAGTCAAATTCAGAAGTTTTTCAAAGCAGGCTAATTCATTACAAAAATAAAGTCCAAGAGTCTTCCCATTAAAAATTTCATACTCTCACTATTTAGGGTGCCCAGACAGGAAAAAGAGATTTAAAGTCCAAACTGTCTACGTGTCTTGAAACTTAGTACTTGCAGTTTTTTCTCCCCTTCATTCTGATGCTTCCCCTAAATCTGTAATCCAGCATTGTGCTTTGCAATCTCTTTCTTGGACTCTCTTTGAAAGAATCTTCTGCTATGGTTAAGATTATTTACATATGATCATCTTAATTACTTTTAATTTACATTAGAATAGAATAGAACAGAACAGAACAGAATAGAATAGAATAGAATTCTTTATTGGTCAACTGTGATTGGATGCACAAGGAATTTGTCTTGGTGCAAATGCTCTCAGTGTGCATAAAAGAAAAGATACATTCGTCAAGTCAAGAGTCAAGAATTAATAAAGCTGAATTAATAAAACATTATATAAAGTGATAGTTTTATCACATCTACTTCTGGTTTTTGTTCCATCTAAGACACTGCTTCCATCTAATTTTCCTGACCATTGAAAATATATTAATTCTATGTATTTAATGCCTTAATTTGTCCCTTGCCAAAGGGCAAAAACGAAACAGAGAATTTCTACAGTAGTAGCTTATAGTGCTGTTGGCCATAGTTATGGCACTATTTCACCACAGCAAGCAGGGTGTTTTTATTATAGTGGTACCCAACATGAAGATTGGATGATGTTATAAATTGCCAGGCCAGAATCCCACAAAGACACTATATTATTGAATCAAGCTGTGCACTGTCAAAAAAAATTGATGGTTCTCCTGTGAACTGGTTATGTTGAAATGAGTATTCCTCTGTAATTTGCTAGATTTTTTTTAGATTACTGTCAAAAGCCTAGTCATGATAGGCTGATGACCGTGTCATTTCTAGCAAATACATTACGTCTGCTCATGTATATTTTCTGCCAAGACAGACAAATAGTGACAGCCCTCATGTCACAACTGTATGCAATCTGCCCTCACTCTCTCAGCTTTCAACATTTTCACCAACTCCATTGTTTTTATTCACAACTTATTTCCCAAGGTATTAATTTAGGCTTTAAAAAAAATAGAATGCAGTCTTTGTTATTTTCTTGCAAAACTCATGAAGGTCTGTGAGCTCTTTTTCTTTTGACAATGCAAGTTTCAGAACTGAATCTTTTGAATAATTTTGAAATCTGTCAATCTATATAATATGAAGTCTGATACTGCTGTTATAATCTAACCAGATTGAAAACCTGAACATTTGCCCCTCCCCTCAAGTATGAATGGAATTAATATTATATAATATATAAGTATAGTTAGTTGGCATCATCACAGATAACTTCATGAGGACATTAAGATTCTTGCTTTATTTCAGAAAAGTAGTGGCAACAGAACATAAGTGGAACATCTGGTACCAATGTTGCATGTATCCCCAGTTCTCTTTGCATACAAAGGAAACAAGTGTGTGGAAGCAGAATAGGGGATTACTGTTTAGCATTTTCCCCTCTGTTGTGCAAATTACTTACAATTTATAGTAATATATTGGAACAATGGAATTTTGCCAACTGCCATGAAAAAAAATATTGATATTAAACAGGGGGTCACATCACAAAAAAAGCTTTATTAAACTTCCAGTTTACTAAACTTTTTTCCTTGGTTCTCTATGTTAATTGTATAAGTAGTAGCATGTACAACTTTTTTTAAAATATAGTTTTATTAAAAAAAATATACTAAAATTATAACAAAAAATAACATATTATGGTTACCCAGTTAGGAGATTCTATAGTCTCCTAGTCTTTTTGGTGAAAAGTGATTGGTTATAAAACAACTGGCTGGAAAGAAATTCTAATTAGAATTCAATAAATTCTAATTAACTAGGATTTATTTGAAACCAATTCAAGTCCTGGAGATAGGAGACCTCATAAATTGGGGCTACTAATAGATAGTATTCCAACTTTTGACGAAACTAGAAGAATTGTTCCTTGTTAAATTATCCCATTAATTAGTAGGCATGTAACTTGAGGACATATTTTGAATTATTGGATGGAAAAAACTTCTTGCTAGTTGTGTGAGACTAGTGTGGATTCTTGAAATTCCTATCCTATTCACTTCACAGTATAACATACCTGCTGCCTTCTCTCCAACCAGCAGGGAAAATTTCCTTCTCCATTCACAAATCTTTGAAATTTTTACTCCAGTAAAATAACTAGTAACCATATGGATATACACAGACACATTTATCCTATTAGCCCACAGGTACAATGGTAGCATTAATATTGTTAAGCCACTGAACTCAATGGCAGTGAATCCCTTGCTCTTGAGCAGTTTGGTCAGTGATTGCAGTCTCTCTTTCTCACATCCGTGGAGAGGTAGTTTATTTTAAACACATGGTAGTTTATTTTAAACACATGGAGTGGTTTCACTCTTGGCTACTTGATTTCTTCTGAGCCTCCTCTTTGTTGGCTCATCCAAATACAGTCTCTTCTTCCTTTTCCTTCTCAGCTCTGTAAATACAGTCAATCCCCAACCAACACACACCAAGTCGGGTGTTGAAACTTGCTATTGGCTGAGTGTGACAATTGAACCAAATCCCATGATACCAACAGTTGATCTCCTCATTTTGTAACCACTGAATTGTTGCTCCTGTGTCCTCCCTATTTTTCTCTCTCTGTCTCGTTCCTATCTCTTTATCCCATTAAGCTGCTTCTTTACTGTAGGCAAATCATGTCTCTCTTTCTTTTCTTACCCATGACTTCCAAGTTAACCTTCTTCTGTTTTTCTGCTCCCCCCCCCCCCCAGACAGTTATTTATGTCTCAGAAAATGCCTTACACCAGGGATGTCCAACTGGTGGCCCATGGGCCAGATGTATCACGCACAGATCATACCTACCCCAGCTCTGTGAATGGGGAAAACACCATGAAACATCATGTGATGGCAACATGACTCAGCAAGTTTGACATCTGTGCCTTACACCCTTAACTCTACAACAGGGGTGTTCCTGATATAAGGGTAAAAAAAAAAATCAAAATGGCAATTATAACTATCTGATCATAACCCCAATCCCTTTTAATGTGCATCATACATATGGGACACCCAAACAAAGATTACACCTGCCATCTTGACTTTTTTTTTAAAACATAGATACATTCTCCATGGACAGTCTTTGTATCCTTTCCAACACCCAGCATTTTTCTCAATTTTTCATAAAAAGAAGTCTCCTCCTTTCCAGAAGTACCCAGGTCTGAATTTCTTGCAAGCTAAATGTTTTTTACTAAAAAGCCCTGTAGCTTTTCCCATGAATTCTTTACATTTATTTATTTCTATTCTGTTCCCTCCACTTCTGATTCTTTCCAATTACATGGCCCTAAGCTATTATTTTTTACATCCAGCCTTTTTTGTCTAGCTTTTGCAAATCATAACCACTTTCTACCAAATCTATTTATTTCCCAATTCTACTGCAAATCTCTGAGTTACAATATAATACTGTGAATGCAGGCTATTAGGAATAAATGGGGATAGAGACATCTTGGAACAATGGATTGGCTTCATTTTCCTCTGGGCTCAGTTTGAACAATTGGTTTGAAATATAGCCCACAACAAGGGAAAGATGCTATTTTGGCTCCTGAATTGTGTTATTTCTTACATGTTCTTCATAAAACTGGCTCTGGTTTCAACAAAATTGAGGATAGGCCTTTATAGATGGATGGCTCTTCCAAGTATATGCCCAAGTATATCTCCCTTTGACCCTGGCCTAGAGGAAGAAGTTGCTGCTGGTTATGGAGTTTTAACTCTGTGATTGATTGATTGATTGATTGATTGATTCATTCATTCATTCATTCATTCATTCATATTGTATGCTGCTCATTTTGCAGAGGCAACTCTAGCGAGAAGGGACTTATTTGGAGACTCCTTGAGGTAACTGTACTCTATCTCACTCTTTTTTAAATCAACCAAACTGATTTTATGAATACAAAATTTCTTGCACGGTCGAGAAAGATCTCAGTATTCTGTCCACTGATAGAAGACTATTTACTGTGCATCAGAATCTTATTAAAGAACAAACCTGCTCCATGTAATATTGGAGATAACATGGAACCATCAGGATAAACTAGTATTTTAGGAATCCACCCAATCCCCATTTAATAGCTTCCCAAATAAGTGGCCATGAATGTGACTTAGAACAGCACCTTTCATTATTCACTCAGTTTTTCAAAGAATATTCTGAATTTCCCATTTCTTCCTAAGGTTTAAATCAGGCAAATACTACCAATAGTGATATTATTCTCTTTATGCCCCTGTAATGGCAAAGAATTTCACTGTGGACTGGGCACATTTTAAAAAGTCTGTAACTCTGATCTGCAACGCAAATTTTCTGGACGCAAGCAGCTCTAAAAGGATAGGAATCTAAGAAAGACTTTTCTAGAGCAGAACAAACTACATCTAGTAATCAACCAGACATCAGCAAGGAGACCAGAAATGAGAGATGGCGTACTAGTACTCCCTTCTGTTGATACTAAGATGCTGATATTGGTAATGAACATCTGGTCCTGTGCATAATATATAACCCTCATAACTACAAATTATTCATAGTTATGTCCTGACATATTTATGAACATACTGCCTTTTAGGTTAAGCAGCATTTCTGCACACACACAACTCAAGTTGCACTCAGTTCCAGGAAATACATTTACATTATATTTTCAAAGTTCTAAAACAAGCAGAACATTGACACTTTCTGGATTTAAAGAGAATTGTATTAGTAATTCTTGACAGCAGGCTACGGATACCAAACTCAGACATAGGGTCTTTTCCTCTCTGGATTCTGAGCAACAGAAAGAGCAATGGATCCTTCATCTCTCTTCCAGTGAAACCTTTAAGAAAAACACCAAGCAAAAGTAAAGAATGATGCATAGCTGTCAGAATTTTAATTATAAGCCATAACATAGTACTTTTCCCAACCTAGTTAGAAATTCTGAGAATCACAATCTAGATGTACACATCACATCTGGATGTACAAGGTTGGGAAGGTTGATCTAACAAGTATAAAATCTAAACCTTCTAAAATAGTCATAGAGCTAAGCCATTAAAAATATTTTTTCAGTACAGTTTCAAAAATTATTATCAGTTAATAAAAAGTTTAGTATTATTTTGAGTATGCTACAAATTTTATAGTGTAGCTTCAAAGTGCTCCTCTACATCCTCCTCCAAATTTAATTACAAGTAATTGAAGCAATAAAATCAAATAATTTGGGTGCTCTGGGAAAATGTCATTACTTTAATTACATAGAAAGTTGCCAAAAGATATGGAAACATCGTATTGAAATAATTAGAGCAAATTGCCATACCAAAGAAGAATAGATCCCACCAGGAAGCTTGGCTGAATTAAATATTTAGCTAGATTTAACTCAGTTTAACTTAACTGTGATCTCAGTGTTAATTTTCAATCCCTGCAATTGCCTCTACCAACATCAAAGCATATTCAGTAGACTATATGCTTGTTTCAAGAGTCTAAAACAATGAATAGAACCAGGAGGGGGCATGTCAAGAATCAGATTATGTGCTATCAAGCCCTATCTTAATGCTCAGTCTCACCCTTTCTACCATGTACCAGATGCCTCCTCCATTCAGGCCTTGGAGATGTCAATATCAGAAAATAGACTTTCATTAGTTAAAGGGTCTCAGATTTGCTGATTTATAGCAAGACATAGCTAGATCTTACAGAGTAATCTCAAGAGTAATCTCAGATAAAAAATATGGTTCATGAGAGCAGTACAATATGTAAGCAATTCAAGGGACAGATGATATAAGTGACAAAAGGGATGATTTGGGACTCATGTGTCCTGAATATACATAATGTTCATAGTCTGCCTACTTTTTTTCAATGGTACTATTGCATGCTTCCCAGTTAAGTAATTTATTTATTTGATTTATCAATCACTCACAAGATAATAGGTATAAGTATAAACATGAGTAAGAATACAGGAAATAGGTATAAATAAATGGGGACAATAGGACAGGGATGGTAGGCACAATTGTGCATTTATGCATGCCCCTTACAGACCTCTTAGGAATGGGGTGAGGTCAATAGTGGATAGTTTAAGATTAAATTTTAGATTAATAGCACAGAACAGGTATTTCAGGAGATTAAAAAGCCAACACAAATTAGTTTTCTGGAAATTATTCACCAAAAGAATGATATATATTGGATTTGATTCATAGCACATTTGCCAAAGATAGCTTGTTAAAATCAGTGCTTCATTGACCGGGAGAAAAGATTCACGGGTCATTTTAATATGATAGCTATTTCTGATAAATAAATACTTAGTCAGCTTCAGAGGAAAAAATAAATAAACAATTTATTTCAATAGATTTTGCTAAACTAACTTCTGGCAACTTTTGCCTCTGGTCATGCTAAATGGTTAGGCAGTGAATTGTAGATCATCTATGTCCAGAAAGCTGCAAATTTAAAGCCACACATTTTGCAAACCTGCAAAGAAATTATGTAAACCAGATCAAGTCAAGTATTTAGAGATTTGGCATGTACTGGGGGCCAAAGACCTATAAATCCTTTTTGCTTATTACTAGAGTTATCTTCCCTCCCTTTTCTAAATTGTTGAATTGGACATTGGTGAGTGGTGCTGCCAAATCTAGCATTTAAGTTATCTGGATATTTTGGAGCATTGTTCCATAGTAAAGCTTTGTTACAAGACCAAAGTATTGTGAGTAGTTAAACTAATGCTTGTTGGTGAGAGCAGGATTTAGGGAGCTACTGGTACAACAAGTTAAGGGAAGGAAAGCAGATGAAACAAAAGAGATTGTCTTTGATTTCACATTGTTCAGGTAAGAGGGATGCTTTAGTTAGCATGGAGGTACAATAGCCTTGCTTATGCTGAGACAGAGGATTATGGCCTTGGAGAACATTACTGTGCTGAAGGCAGGGGTGGAATTCTACCAGTTCAGACCGGTTCTATAGAACCGGTTATGATTCTGTGCAGTTCAGAGAACTGGAAAGTCATGCCCCTGACTGGCCCCGTCCCTCTCCGCCCACCCCTCTCTTTCCTGCCCAGTCTGTCCTTATCGTGTATGTGCAACACAGTGTGCATGCCCGACATAGCTGACTGTGTTCTCCCCCACCCAGTCACTCTTAAGATATTTCTTTTCTTTTTTTCCCTCCTGATGATCAGCTGTTCCAATGATCAGCTGTGCTCACTGTCTTACTGCTTCACACAGGAGGCTTCCCTGAGGCCCAGAAAGCAAAAAGGGATACTGGGGGAGAGTAGCGGGGGTATAGCGGGGGAAGCTGCTCCCCCTGTGCTCCAGTTTTTGCCTTCCTGGGCCCCAGGGAAGCCTTCTGGGAGAAAAAACAGCCCCCCAGGAGGCTTCCCTGAGGCCCAGAAGGACCAAAAATGGAGCATGGAGGGATGCTGCACACACACACCCGCTCCATTTTTTGCCTTCCTGAGCCCATTTATTTGGCCTCCTAGGAGGCTTCCCTGAGGCCCAGGAGGCCAAAAAAACTGGCAGGGGGCTGAAAAAAAAAAGAAGTCACACCCAGACAGTCACTTGGCCATGCTCACCTGGCTATGCCCACCTGGCCACGCCAACCTAGCCACACCCACAGAACCAGTTGTTAAAATTTTTTAATCCCACCCCTGGCTGAAGGTCTCAACTAGGATGATTGTTGAAGTTCCTGCCAAAACTGCTGCTACATTGGATAGAGTCATAATCTGCAGAACCTTATAGATTAGAAACATGTAAGCTGCACCTGAAGTTCTGTTTATTTTAAGCTTACATTAATAGAAAATAGAAGGTACAATGATGCAGGCATACCTGAGAGTATAAAAATGCATTAGTCAAATGTGGGCAACAACAGATAGATAAAATATTTTACTTACTTAGTTTGCATTGGGACAAGAAGGCTGTCGTCAGCCCTTAAAGTCAGGATTTTTCTATCAATAGTAACAAAAGATGCACCTTCCTAAAATGGAAAAGAGGGAGACTTTTAATTCTTTCTGGATTTAAAATGGAAATGGAGATATAATTTAAAATGTAAATTTAAAATTCACCAGTTTATCTGTATAAATCTTGCCTGTCTCGTTTTCATCTTTGCTCTACTTCATCAATGTAAGCTAATTGTAGATACACAATTAAGCTGGTTGCTTTGGCAACATAGACACATTCTCACTCTTTCCCAATGTCTATTGCTTACAATAATGTGGATAAAAAGTTGGGAAAAATTGCTAGGAAATTTGTTAGTATATTTCTGTCAGTCAGCTACAACATTAAATACCTCCCTTCCCCTTTAGGATGCTCTCATAATTTTTAAATTTGAAAAAAAAAATTCAAAGGATTAAGTACAACCTTCCTAGCTTCATAATAATTTCCTTTTCTACATTTCTCATCTGATATTTGGAAAGTTTTTCAAAACTAAAAGAATAGTTCTCTAAACCCACAGGCGTTGGTGCAGACATTACTAAGAGGGAACCATTAGTGTGGAAAAAGGCCATCTCTATTTCATCAGAGAGGTGTCCTGTCAAGCTAATTCACTTCTGCAAGAACTAAAAGAAGTCTGGCCTGAAGACAGCTGTACCTGAAGGCAAGGAAGATCATCAGCAGTAGATGCTCAGGTTCCTGCCAAGCATTCAGAGAGATACAGTATGTGTCTGGCTACTTTCTCTTTTTCCTACTTTTTGCAAGGAAATTGCGTTCTTTCAAAAGGAGAAAACTGATTGCACATTCAATGCAGTCAGCCTTCAGGTTTCCTATTTTTCATCATTGTGGTTTCTCAAAGAGTCTTTCAGCCATTTGTAAGTTTCTGGTTCAGATTCCAAAGTGACCATCAAGCAGGGGAACTCAAGTACCTTAGATTAGAAAGCTACTATCTTGAGTCAAATGCAATTATTCATGGATGGATGTAGTTTTTGCAGTAACTTTTCTAGAAAACTCCTCCATCTGCATTCTTTTGCCAAGTTTTTAGCTACTGCCTCCATCCATCCATCCATCCATCCATCCATTGTTATTATTACTTTTACTATTATAGAGACTTTTTGCCTTAGGCAAATAAGTGTGACTTTTCTGGGTTTAAGGGCCTCATTCAAAATTAGGGTATGTGGAAGGGGTATGCATTATTATTTTTTGTAGTGATCCTCCATTACTTTGTAATATAAGGGAAATATCAATAAGAAGAATGCATGTGTTGGTTCTGGAGGTTTGTTTGATTTTTTTTAATACAATATTATACATAGCAAGTAAGAAATAAAGCATATATACCATCTGCCATATCCATATATCTGCATTCTTTCCTCTCTCTTCAGTTGTTCCTGGTCCAAATATTACAACCTAAGAGACAACCAAGAAAATATGTTCTTTTTATTTTAAGGTTATGGTTAGTGTATCTACTTTATTAATGTATCTACTTTATTTTAATGGAATAGCATTATACATATGAGAGAATGAACATTACACTTGTTCATTATACAGCTGATATATATAATATTCTTAGAAATAAGAAACTCTCTTATCATAAAGCAGAAATTAAAAAGAAATAGTTCATATACTCTTGTGACACACTTCTTTAAGTTCAGCTAATGCACAATTATTCTTGACTATTCTTGGTTTATGAACTCAATCTATTATATCCAAAATTTCCTCCTTTCAAAGATTCAAAGGATTAGCTTTCGCAGCATTTGTTTTTGCAATAAAGGTTTTCACACTATTTCATTTCCCAGTAACCACACTTACTGTGAGGAGTATTATTACTCCTGTTGTGCATGGAGGCTGAAAATAGCACCCAGTTCATGGCACAAGACTTGATATCATGCAAAATATCCCCAACTGATCTTCAGAGCTTTATTAGCTGAGAGAGTTTGTTCAGAATAGGAGATCTTGATTTAGACAGTTTTAAGTTTGGGAATCCCAAAATATGGCTTCAGATTTGTTTAAAGACACCGCTCCCCCTTTAAGAGGTTGTTGTAATCATTGGATATTTTCCATTGTTTCATTTCCTTAATTCATCTTGCTGCAACAAGGAGGTTTTCAACACAGGTGGCTCTGGCACAATGGAAAATTTCCAGGAACATCGTTGGAGAACTAAGAAAGAACATACTGTAACTTGCTCTTTGGTGGATCTGAAGTAACATCTGGTACTGTTTTTAGTACAAACAGAAATTAAGAGGAAAACGTACCAAATACAGCACCAAATGATGTGTTAGGGGTTAGAGATCTAAATCACGCAACAACTCCATTGAAATTATATCTTTCCCTAAAAGAAACTATGTTTCAATTCTTTCAAACTAAAATTATTTTACATACAGATTTTTTTCAAACCAAAACTGTGGCCAGATAACAGATCTATATATTTTATTTTGACTTTACTCCAATGGCTGTAAAACTCATTTCTCCTAGTTTTTAAAGAATATTGAAATCAAATTTTATTTTATTGATCTTTCAGCCCCTAGCTAAGTTTTAACAGCAAGTACAATAATACAAACATATTTGTGATGTAGTATCATCCAGACTAGACAGCAAGCTTTGTGTAAAGGTTAAGGCCATTAGTTCTAATCCCACATTGGCACAAAGCTGGTTGGATGACCATGGCAGTCACTTTATCTTAGCCCTAGGAAATAGGCAATGGCAAACCACTTCCGAAAAGTCTTGCCAAGAAAAATAAAGGGACTTGTCCAGGCAGTCCCAGAGAATTGGACACAATTTAATAGAAGGACCAAAATATCAAACTGATGTTTTATCCAGTGCCTTGAGGCTCTCAGGATCTGGATGAGGCAGAACAGATGAAGACTACTCCCTAGCAAGCTTTCTATTGAAATAGTGTCATTGCTGGCAAATACTATCCTGAAGGAACAAGTTTACAGTCTGGGCATCCTTCTTAATACATAGCTGCTGCTGGCATGGGTATAAGTTGTGATTAGAGAGATCTTTACCAGCTTTGGTTAGTGCAGTACATAGTTTTTTTTTACCAGATACAAGCACATCTCAATACAACAACACATTTAGACTACTACAATGTGCTTTTCCTTGGGCTACCTTTAAAGAACACTCAGAAACAGCGCTGAGCTCAAATGTAGTGGCCAGTATGCAAACTGGCACTAATTCCTGGGAAAACTGCAATATATCATAAGATTGCCAATGTACTAGTTACTGATTAGTTTCTGAGGAAAATTTAAAGTGCTGGTTATGATCTATAAAATATTTTATGGCTTATGGCTTGACACCTGTACATCTACAGATCTACCTGCTCCAACCTATCCAGACTAGACCAACCTATCAGGTTATCTAGAAAAAACTACTCCTAGTTCCCCACTTGTAGGTAGGGAAGAAGCCAGGGGGCTGTAGCATCTGGGGTCTCTCTGCAGTGTTCAGACTGGTATCACCCCTGCTTTCACTCAATAAGAAGCCGAAGATTGAGCTGTTTCAGATTTCAAATTCTAATCCGTGTAGTTGACCTTTCCTTTATTTTTCTTGTTTTATTTTTTGTTAGACTTTATTGTAATTAAAAATACAATAGAAATAAAGGTCAGAAAGTAAAGGGGAAAAGTCAAGAAGGGGAGAGGGATACAAGGTAAAAAGAAAAAGAAAAAAGCACTGATTTCTGATTGTTTTCAGTGCAGTAGAATAGTCTATTTTTCTTGAGAGTCTTTTTGTTATTGGGATTAGGGAATTAACAAATCAACAGTAGATAAATTTACCTGTTTCTATCTTTATATAGATGTAATGGTATGTGAGATTGACTTTGAAAAACCAGGCAAAGAGAGGCTGCCCACAGATAAGAGGCAGTGTAGCAGAGGTAGTATTCAGCAGGTTCTAACCAGTTTTGGAGAACCGGTAGCAGAAATTTTGAGTAGTTCGGAGAACCTGTGATAACCTTCCCCCAGGAGTGGGAAGGGAATGGAGATTTTGCAGTATCCTTCCCCTGGAGTAGGGTGGGAATTGAGATTTTGCAGTATCCTTCCCCTGCCACGCCCAGCAAGCCATATCCACCAAGCCATGCCATGCCCACAGAACCAGTAATAATTTTTTTTTTGAATCCCACTACTACAGCATAGTCACAACTTCATAGTGGGTGGAGCAAAAGGTCCTGGAGGGACATTCCCTAAATTATCAGGTTGTAAAGGTGATGGTGACTTTCAAGATTCTGTTAATGTAGCTTGACAATAAAGTTGAATTATCTTATAGAGCCATATTTCCTGTTTGGTCCTGGGGTGAAATTCAACCACCTTGCCCCAGCTCATTTGAATAGGTAAAAAAATAGCCCCTGGTTGCTATTACTTTTATACCAGCCACGCCCAAAGCCATGCCAGCAGAGCAGGTAGGGAAAAAATTTGAATTTCATCCCTGGTCTGGTCTACCTGGTAATAGGCCAATGGAAGAGGAGGGTCAGCAGGTGAGACTGGAGGTTAGATTGCAGATAAGGATTAGTAGTTATACTTTAATTAGGCATAAGGAGACATAATGTGAAGTGTGATGGGAGGAAAAAATATTCTTCTGGAAACCAAAATCTACAGGTAATATTTACTAACTGTAGATACTATGCACCTAGATTTGGGAGAGGCGGGCAGGGAGGGTGGGAGAGAGGGAAAGAGAAGCAAAATGTCTTGGTCAAAATAAATCTCTCAACACAATATACTTTCTTCAGTTATAAGAGACTCTTATTTGATCATTCTAGTTCAGAATTAAAAATTGTTTTTTAACCTCTGTTTCAAAGTTGTCTCCAAAAAGACTCAAGGTTTGTTTCAGAGCTATATTTTCTTGGCAATCATTCAGCCGATCTTGCAAAGAAAAAGGATCCATGACTGTAACATCATTTAGTGGAAAAGGAATTGCTCTTAAGATTTCACCTACAAACAAATAAAAAACAAAGAGAAAAGAGAACAAAGATATTGAAAAAACAGTGTTCTATATTGTAGTTTTTTTATTTTCTATGATTCAAACCTATTAAGAGAAAATTGTAACACTGAAAGTAGTACAAATAAAGGAGAATATTTGTAGCTCAGGGTTGAAATGAAGGGTCCTTGGTGCTCTCTGAGCTGAGATGTTTCATTAACCAAACTAGGTAAAAATTCATTGGGTAATGAAATGTTGCAAGAAAACAATCCAGCTCAAAGAGCACCAAGGACTCCTCCTTGAAAGTAGTTTGATAGTATCTAGAATGAGAGGTGGTGGGTTCCCCTTCATTGTGTGTGTGTGTGTGTGTGTGTGTGTGTGTGTGTGTGTACAAAACACACACACATATAATCTATCTATCTATCTATCTATCTATCTATCTATCTATCTTTCTTTCTTTCTTTCTTTCTTTCTTTCTTTCTTTCTTTCTTTCTCAGGGGGATGAATACACAACAGAATAGAATTGTTTAAGACCCAGACTCTTTCCCTTTCAAATGATAAGAATGAACTTTTGAACACTGGGTATTCAAAAGGAATTCTTTACTGGAAAGGAAGATATCCAGGTGATATTCAAAGTAAGGTCTAATATGCCTCCTGGCATGTGGCTTAGATAAAGTGAGTTAGAACCCTCCCCTTAGTCCGGTGTGGATTTCATCAATACAAAGAAGTAACATGTTAATTTCCCCCACCCCTTTTTTTTCTGGGAACATAGTTGAAAAAAGCTTCCCAGGGTTTCTTTCGAAGCTGGAATTTTTATGGCCCCTTCTCCTCTTGCTATCTCTCCAAGAGGTGACAAGTTTCCAGGCTTCTGGGCTCCAGTCCCCAGTTGTAAATCATGTGCAAGTTATACAGATTCAATACGTAAAAAAAGGATTACTTGTATCAATCCTCTCCTCTTCTTCCATTGAAGAATGGCAGATACACAGATCTGACAGAATTGTTTAGTGTTTTTCCAGAATGTAAGAAATATGTATACATTACAGGAAAGCAGATTTCAACTTCAACTTGACAGCAAAAAGAATTTCCTAATAAAAGCAGTTCAGCAATGTAGCAATTTGTCTTTGGTAGTCCCTTCTTCTCTCAGCCTATATAAACAGCCTATTTAAACAGAGCTCTTTTAGGAATGCAGTAATAGTGGGTTCCATCATGAGACAGGGAGCTGGTCTAGACAATCTCCACATTTCCTTCCAATTCTAACATTCCATGATTTTCCAAGTGTGTGACTCTTTTATTATATAGCACAGCTCTGGGAAACAGAATGAGTTGAAAAATTAAATATTATTTTCCAAAACTTGTTGCTCTAAATACTGCTGTCCACAGGCTGGTTTTCTTTTACGGCTAAAGAGCATTTAAAAAGCAGCAATGGATGATTCAGTGTGATTTGTTATGTATGCTTAATGTTAAACATAGTGAATCTTATTTCTATTCTTTCTATTGTTTAGAGCTACTTGGGGGGTACTGTTATCAATTGTGTGTTGGAACTGATTCATAACAACTTGTGAAAGCCAATTTTACATTTTCAGGAAATTTATGTACCAATTTAGAACAGAGCTGAGCCCCAACCAATGTAAATGAGTATTAGCTTTTAACTGTTTTATGAGTAGAGAAATCTGTCCACTCTCTTGTGTCTTTTATATTTATAACAGTTGTCCCATCCATTAATCTATTATTCACTTTGTTGTGGAACTCCCTCTTTCTTTACTCCTCAAAAACCATGGGAATGCTTTCATAATATGTCCTTGGGATGCTTTTTCAATAACGGCCCAGACATGATAAAGAAAAATATTGAGTATCTCAGTGGTATCCCAAGTGTTCATTAACAACATCCGCTTCTAATTTCAGTAGTATAATTGGCTGGGTGGGGTGGAGACGGGGGAATGATATTGCATTTGTTTTCAGCCTATTGTGAAGTTTCTGCTATTATAGTATAATAACACTGCCTAATTGCTGCAACTTATTTTTCCTATGATAACTTCTTATACAATATTTTAAATGAAGGAGGTTGGTGACTGAAAACTGATGGAAGTAAATCAAAAATAAGTTTATATTTGGAAGTTAGGACAAAGAATTATGATTCACATTACAATGCATATCTCATAAAGATCAATAATCTGTTGCTGGGTATACTCTCTCATTTTTATTATTTTACTATTTTGAGTTTTTATTTATTCCAGTGGTGGGCTTGGTGGGAACTCTGCAAAAGCCTTTAGAGGAGTATTATGCCCTACAAAATTCATTTTATGTACTCAGCTTTATTTGTATTCTACAATATATTATTTGCATTTTGTAATAGAATGATTAATTCTGGGGACGAAATCACAACACATTCACAATCTAAAATAATTTACAGTGAAAATACAAAAGTAGAAGTTCTAATCTGGGATGCTAAATATTTTCATATGAGATATTAGGGGTCTGGAGGCTCAACTGTATGATGAATGGTTATAAGAACTAGGTATATCTAGTCTAACAAAAAGAAGGACTAAGGGTAATGTAATAGCAGTCTTCCAATACTTGAGGGGTGTCACAGAGGCTCAATCTATTACCCAAAACATTTAAAGCAGGACAAAAAGTAGTGAATAGAAGATTATTAAAGAGAGATCCATCGTAGAATTAAGGAGAAATTTCCTGACAGTGAGAACAATTAATCCGCGGAACAGCTTGCATCCAGAAATTGTAGGTGCTTCACTAGAGACTTTCAGGAAGAGATTGGACAACCATTTGTCCAGAATAGTATAGGATCTCCTGATCAAGCAGGGGGTTGATTAGACTTCAAAGGTCCCCTCCAGCTCTGTTATTCTGTCTATAACTTCTGCAATTTCTATTTTTTAATGCTAAACGGCACTCATATTTTCACTATATAAATTGTCAAAAAGGCAGCAGTACACTTGCTCAAGATGCTATGGAAATTTGGATATCTTCAGAAGCCAAGCATGCTCTTCTCTATTAAACTACAACTGCTTCCCAAAATTTTCCAGTTCCCAAAATGAATCCAGATTTTCTTAAACTGCCAAGGCTGCTAGAATCATATGAAACACTGAGAATATGCTGTGAGTGTTCTCACAATAGCAACTGGCTAAAAGAGAAGCATGCTAAATGCCTGCTAAAATTACAGTACACATTTGCACCTTTGTTCTTTGTTGAGGTTGTGAGGAATCAGAAGTAGTAACACTTTCAAGCAAAGTAGTAGATAGAAATTTTTATAGTCAGGTAGGGCAGAAAGACTTCCAACAGAAAGAGAAGTGTCTGGGGATACATTAGCACCACACTGACACCTATCCAGTTCATAATATAGTCACCTGTCCAAGTATTCATAAGGTTATGAAGGAGACATGCTAGGAGAGTAGAACAATATTGTGACTCTAAGGCTATACTTCCATTGATACATTCTTGATAAGCTCAGGAGACCTTGCACTATCTGTTTACCTTCAGGCCAAATCTCTCTCTCTATCTATCTAAGGAGGTCCTTGGACAAAGTGCAATGCTGAGTGTGAGAAGTGTGAGAAGACTGCTGTCACTAAATAGGTACAAATACATCTGGAAGGAACCAGGCACAAGTGGCAATGGAGAAACAGTGGAAGAGTATGCAGGTTATGGCTACTCTATAGTAGTAGCCTTCCTACTTTAATAGGAGGATGTCTCTTGATTTTCCCCTCATTAATGATTTTAGAATTAAATCTTTGCCAGCCTATTTCAAATCACTCAGAAGTCAACCAGAAGTTCCCAGCTTATCCTCTGCCCACCAATGAGCCAAGTTACTTCATGCCCAATGTACAAAACCATCCTTATAGCATTCCCAAAAATAGCTATCCAAAGAGGACCTTACAGATCTTTAAGGACCTAAAGGGAAGAGAACCCACCATTCTTTTAAGCTGACATTAAATAGATTGGTTAAAAAGGGAAGGTATAGAAAGAGGATAAAAACAAAGCCCATTTTCTCTGGTAATGGATAGAGAAATCAACGTAGAATTTTGCAGGAATGGTATAATCACTGTTTTTGCAATTGTATGGAGCATGAAGGATTCCCCTGCTGTTTGGGACTTAGACATAATGATGACTGTGGCTTGGGACAACTGAAGATCTCAATCTGCCTGCTGCGTTTAGCTTGGAAAATAATCATTCTCCCTTTCTCTGGCACATATTTCATTGCTGTACAGAGAAAAAAGGCTACTTTCCCCATGCAATATTAATTCCATTTAGAGAAATATTAAAAGAAAGCAAATGATAAAAATGCAAGAAAAATACAATTAGTTAAGCTTTAAAATTATTATTGTTTGCTGGATGAAAAATTATTTTAGTTCCAAAGTCATCTTATATCACCTGGATTGGGTTTTCCAGTTTGATACTCCATTGAACTGAAAAATCTGAAATAAAAAAGGTTAACAATTGTAAAATCCATCTTCTCTCACTTAGGATTGTATAGAGAGAAACCCCTGAACTAACGGTGGAATCCCTGTGATAAAATTATCACAGTATATAGTTATTTATATGCAAGCTTTATGGATGTTTGTTATACTCATTTCCAAGATGCTCTATATTAAGTTTATTGCATTTTGACAAAATGTAGGATTCTTCCAAGATTATGGATACCACCTTCTAGAATATTTCTGGTGCCATGTAGACCATCTAAGGAACATCTCTCAAAGAATTAATACTGTTATTATATTATATCAGGTATTTTATTAATGTGGCTTTAGACTTAAAATGAGGCACACAGAAAAACAAACTGTATGAATATACTGTATGTATTCCTAATTGAACAAACAATTAGCAACAAAATAAATAGTTCACACACATTAGTGTGGTCATATAGAGCACAATTTGACAAGATCATTAAGAAATAAAAGTTCACCTCCCTCCTTCTAATAACCCTGAAACAACAAACTACTTTAAAACAAATACCAGTATTTTTATAACAGTAGTTCCAGTACATACTGTAGCAATGCTGTAAATCAAGCCCAATTGTTAATCTGTATAATGAAATGATCTCAAAAAGTTTATACAAGGATGAACCTGATTGGAATTTGAATATCAGAAATTTCAAAGAAATTTCAGGAAACATCCTGGGAGGAAGAAAATAATGGCCAGCCCTTTTTGTCATGGCCAAGAAACCTACACAGATCTTCCCAGAAAGTCCCAGGAATCAAGCTCAACCTGCAAAAGACTTACTCTTGAATTATTGGAATCAGTTGTGTACCAAGATCCTCACAGTAAAACCATCTTTCAAAAAGGACATCTGTTGATTCTCCAATATAATATCTGAGAAAAATATATATATAAATCATGTAGATTTCTTAATAAATATACAATATTTTTAATATAGAAAAGAGACAATTTGCTCTTAAAAATAATATATTTTGTCATGAACATGAAAAACATAAGTGTATAATGCTTTGAAGTTAATTCAGACAAACCTGAAAGGATGGAAAAACTGGCTATATAATATCAAATGAAATTAACAGAACAGAAGTTTGTGACAGAATAACAGACTTGGAATGGACTTAGAATTCTTCAAGTCCAATCCCCTACTCAAGCAGGGGATTCTATATCAGTTTTGACAAATAGCTATCCAGTCTCTTCTTGAAAACTTCCAGTGATGGAGTATCTACCACTTCTGAAGGCAAGCCATTCCACTGGTTGATTGTTCTTTCTGTCAGAAAATTTCTCCTTAGTTCTAGGTTGCTCCTCTCCTTAGTTAGTTTCCATCCATTGGTTCTTGTCCTGTCTTCAGGTGCTTTGGAGAAGAGCTTGACGGCCCCTTCTTAGTGGGGGCTCCTCAAATGTTGGAACACTGCTACCATGTTTCTCAAAAAATAAGGCCAGGCCTTATTTTTTTTTTGACCCCTGAAAAAACGGGTAGGCCGTCTTTTCAGGAGTGACTTAATTTCCTCCCCCACCTAGAGCAGCCCATACACACTCCCTTCGCCACAAGGCCACTTCTATTGGCAGACGAAAGCTCCCTTGAAGGCAGAGTCCCCAGCCGCTTCTGGGCGAGGCGTGGCTGCCCGTGTCCCCTCGTCTTTAGGCAGTCTCTTTCAGGCAATGGAAGCTCCCCAAATGCAGTCACCAGCCACTTCGATTGGCCGGTAGAAGTGGCTTCAGGGTGAGTGCACACACACACACACACACACACACACACACACACACACACTCCCCTAGCTGCGAGGCCGCTTCTATCGGCAGACGAAAGCTCCCTTCAAGGTGGAGTCCCCAGCCACTTCGGGGTGAGGCATGGCTGCCCGTGTCCCCTCACCATTAGGCAGTCTCTTTCGGGCGATGGAAGCTCCCCAAATGCAGTCACCAGCTACTTCCATTGACCGGTAGAAGTGGCCTCGCGGCGAGGGGAGTGTGTGTGTGCCACGCCTCACCCCGAGGCGACTGGGGACTCTGCCTTCAAGGGAGCTTTCGTCTGCCGAAAGAAGCGGCCTCGCAGTGAGGGGAGTGTGTGTGTGTGTGCGCTTGCCCCGAGGCCGCTTCTACCGGCCGATCGAAGTGGCTGGTGACTGCATTTGGGGAGCTTCCATCACCTGAAAAAGACTACCTAAAGGTGAGGGGACATGGGCAATCCCGCCCACCCTGAAGCGGCTGGGGATTCTGCTTTCAAGGGAGCTTTCATCTGCCAATAGAAGCAGCCTCGTGGCAAGGGGAGTGTGTGTGTGTGTGTGTGTGTGCTTGCCCCGAGGCTGCTTCTATCGGCTGATCGAAGTGGCTGGTGACTGCATTTGGGGAGTTTCCATTGCCCAAAAGAGACTGCCTAAAGGCGAGGGGACATGGGTAGCCACCCCTCGCCCTGAAGCGGCTGGGGACTCTGCCTTCAAGGGAGCTTTCATCTGCTGATAGAAGCGGCCTCACGGCGAGGGGAGTGTGTGTGTGTGTGCTCGCTCCAAGGCCGCTTCTACCAGCTGATCAAAGCTCCCTTGAAGGCAGAGTCCCCAGCCGCTTCGGGGCGAAGTGTGGAACACACACACTCCCCTCACTGCTAGGCCGCTTCTACCAGCTGATTGAAGTAGCTGGTGACTGCATTTGGGGAACTTTCATCGCCCAAAAGAGACTGCCCTAAAAGCAAGGGGTCACGGGAAGCCACGCCACGCCCTGAAGCGGCTGGGGACTCTGCCTTCAAGGAGCTTCTATCGGCTATCGGGGTATTCTAGCCTAGGCTACCTGCAGGCCACTGCTAAAGGAAAGTTTTCTCCCCATTCCCCCCGCCCTTCCCCCACCCATTTCTCTTCACCTCATGTAGTTCTAAGAAATGATGTGAGAAATGGCGGGGAAAAGCATGGTTTGAATAGGCCTAAATTTTGGGGGCGGGGCTTAATTTAACCTCATGCCTAGAAATCATGCTGGGCTTTCCTATTGGTGGAGGCCGTATTGTTGGAGAAACACGGTATCACGACACCCCTAGTTGTTCTTTTTATTAGACTAGCCATACCCAATTCCTGCAACTGTTCTTCATATGTTTTAGTCTCCAGCGCCCTAAATTAGATTAAGTTTAATTCATTAGATAACTATAATTATATGGCAGCAAATCCATGATCTCAAGAATGAAAGTTTTTCCTCATGATAGGAAGTGCTATAATTTCCTCCAAGGAAGTGACAGATGGGAGTGGATTATGATGGGGGGTGGGATTAGACAGTATAGGTAGCTGGGTCCCAGGGCATGTAAGGTTTTTTTAAAAAATCATAACCAACAACTTGAATTTGACCCAGAAGCAAACTGGCACCCAACGCTGCTCACACAGCAATGGTATTACATATGCCATTCTTTGGGTACCCAAGATTGCTCATGCAGCTACAAGCTTCCAGATATTTTTCAAAGATAGCTCCATATAGTGCATATTGTAATAGTCCAAGACCAAACAGAAGATCAGCAGGACATAAGTGACCAAGCAGAGTTTCTATGCTTAATTCTTCCATTGAATTAAATATACAATACATAAAGTTTGGTTCTAGTGACCCAAGACTCTATAGAGAAGCAAGAGCATTCTCATATAATTTATTAGTGGGAATAAAGATTTTAGATTATTTTTCAACTCTAGCACCTGCACTGGCAGTCGGGATGAATCCTCCAGCGGGCCTCAGGGCCCCTTGGGTCCTGCCGAGGTCGCCACTAATGTTGCAGAAAATCTTGCTTCCAAAGCAGGACACAAGACCACGAAAGGTTGGAGAATACAGGTTTTATTTGCGCAAAGTGTTCAGAGCATTAGCATGGCAAATTCTGAACCCCCCAGGTCTTCCTGAGGCAATATTTTTATACCCATCATGACCTCAGCATAGGCCTGGGCATTACTCTTGCCACATTTTACCAAATAAGGACAATATTGCATACTCTTCTATAGAGGAAGTATAAAGTATAAAGAGGAAATAACAAGTATATTTTTGATTACTCAGTTATCTTACACCATCAATTATTTTCCATGTTCACCCTTGTTTACAGTAATGTGGTTAGTTCAAGTTCCTGAGTTCAGCAATATTGTGGGTTTGGACAATGTTATGTTAAGCAGAGCTTACGGGAAACTGGGACCTTGGCTAAATATGACTTGTTGACCAGTGCTAAATATAAAATGTGCTTTATATGCTCTTTTTCAGCTGCTTCAAGAGTGGCTTATAATGATGAAATCAGATTTATAATAAAATGACATCTCACCTCAGTCCATCAGTTTCTGTTTCTAATCTTCTCCTTTCAATTACCAGTCCCACAGAGTTTGCATACCTTTGTGGAGAATGTGGAATCCTGGCTGGTAAAAGAAACATCTAAGAACAAAATTAAAGTTGAAACATGTAGCAACAGCAGGAGATTTGGTTATATCTTTTCTGTCATCTCAGTTGGTCTTTGTTCTCCCATTCTACTTTTCCTTGAATGCCTTGAGTGATTGAATAGAAATTCAGCAATAGGAGGAAATGTAAAGTGAAGAAAGAACAACCTCAAGGAACAGCAGGAAGAACCCCTACCAAGATAACAGTCAAATAAAAGAAATCCAAGTCTAGAGCAGACAAGATCCTCCTCCCTAATTCTTGTGAAGGTAAAGGGAGGGGGGAAATACATTCAAATCAGTTGTAATATTATAATAAAAACAGTATTAGCATTCATGATTTTTGTTTCCTAGTTATGGTCTAGCCTGAAAGGCTTAATAGGATGAGACAGAAGAAACATACTTTCTGTGAGACGTACATGCTCAGCTGTGCAGAATGAACACTCTTGAATAATTGCTGGCTCAAAGAAGTGTGCTCAGATGCTGTTGATTGCCCACTGTGTAGGGACTGAAAGACTGCTTCCTGCTGAGCAAGCAGACCTTGTACTTGGAATGTAGGAAGAATATAAGGTAGTTATGAAAAAGAACACTTAGCAAGTGAGCTAAGTTTTTAGGTTTTTAGAACAAGAGTTGAATGTCTATCAACGTTTCCTTCTAAGAGGAAAATGGACATTAACTTAATCTGAGGGCCTAGGAAAGGAACAAGAAGAAATAAATGCTTTTCTAATGACAATGCCTTAAGAAACAGAAGTGATGATAAACAGAACATGGCTCTATAATTGTGACTTGCAGTGCTTTTGACATGTTTGTGTTCGTTCATGACAATAACCTGACATATATTACAAAAGCTACAAACTTGTAGCAATGCTTGAAGAAAAAATTGAGAATTGGAAGAGAGAATGGTCAAGGTGTACTTTATGAGAAAGTGAAAAAATTATTAGGGCAAGCAAAAGAGACACTGCAGCAAAAGCTAACAGTAGAACCAACTCTACATAAGAAAAATAATCAAAGAGTTGTCAAAGAGTAATAATTAAGAACAAAAGACATAAAATATATTCTGCCAACTGGGAACTCAGGAAATTATATTGCAGACAATATTGGCTTTGAGCTTCTGGGGAAGTAGAGAAACTATTTTCTCCCAAGGGAAGAAGAAAACAATAATACACTCCCTTTCTAGATATCCTCATCAGTGGAGGCAGTGATGGCAAATTAGAAACACAAGTCCATCAAAACACTACCCATACCACCAAGTGCTCCATTATCAAAGTAACAACACAACCTCCCACAAGAGAAGCTGTGTAAGAACACCATTTAGAGGGCCATAAAAACTCTGCAGCAGCCCTGAACAAATGGAAACAAAGCATCTATATAATGTGTTCCAACAAAATGGATATCTATACAATTTTAAGTGCCTGACCACTCAACCAATCATAATTCAACTGACACAAGGTATGAAAAGGATAACACTGCCATACATAAAAATCATCTTTTAAACCAACAACAGACTATTATAACCATGTAGCATCACCATAGCACAGTGGTCGCCAATCAATGGGCTACGGCCCACTGGTGGTCCATGAGAAAATTTTGGTGGTCTGCAGAGAAATGTCACCCCCAAAGCACCCTCCAAAGCTATTAATCTAGGCTGCATGGGAACACGAGGCTGTGCTGCCCACATGGCTCCTGGGAACCCTCCCCGCCCACTCACTCCTTACCTGGCAAACTTGCCTGCTAAGTTTCTATTTTTCCTTCTTTTGTTTTCCATCCATCAGCTGTTCTGCTGTGCCAGGAAATTTAGATTAGCTAGAAAGCAGGAAACCTTGGATTTCTTGCTTTCTGGATAATCTTTAGATCTTCGGCTCTGCTTTTAAGCAGAGCCAAACCTTCCTTAGGACTGAAGCTTCTATTATTCAGCGCAGGTAGCCAATGGCAGAATCATAGATCTCTAAGTGAATCTGTGATTCTGTAGCAACTCAATCTTCCTGCCTGTTTTGCCTTATTTGGGGTAAAAGTTGCTCTTTTTTATATAAAAAAATCAATATTTACATACATGGTGTGTTGTGAGTTATTTTTGTCAGTTTGCTTGCAAGCAAATTTTATGTGACAGACTCAGGTAGCCGATGGAAGAATCACAGATCTCTGAATGAATCTGTGATTCTGTGAGCAACTCAATCTGCCTGCCCGCTTTGCCTGATTTTGGGTAAAAGTTGCTCCTTTTTAAATAAAAAAATCAATATTTACATCAATATTTATAATATTTACATACAAGCCATGCCCAGCCAGTCACTTGCCCACCTAGCCATACCCACAAATTAGGCCATGCCCACAGAAATGGTTAAGAAATTTGAATCCCACCCCTGCTTCTGTGTGTGTGTGTGTGTATGTGTGTGTGTGAGAGAGAAGGGAGAGGGAGAGAGAAGTTAAATCAGATATCTCTCTCTCTCTCTCCCTCCCTCCCTCCCTCCAACGTTAGCAAGCCACTGTCAGTCAAAAATCATATTAGTTGTCCCCGGGATTTAAAATTATGAGTTTGGTGGCCCCTGAGATCCAAAAGGTTGGCGACCCCTGCCATAGCACACATGCCAACTAAATCCCTCCAAAACATCCGAGTAAACCAAAAGGCCCAGCAGCCCCAGAAGGAAAAAAAAAAAACAGGAGTCAGATACAATATGCAGTGTAAGGAATGTAACAATCACTATGTAGGACAAACAGGTAGAAATCTAGCAGAGCGCATCCATGAATACCAACTAGCAATCAGAAGGCATGATGAAAACTCCTTAATTTCACAACATATGGACAGATTCAGCCATATTTTCAACTGGGAATCTGTAAGCAATTTACAACTCATTACAAAATAGGAGAAGCTGTCTACTGACCTCATCCATAAGCTTTGAAAAGGTATCTGGCAGATCTATGGTTTACAATCATGACAGAACAATTTGAAGACTTATTCCTTCCTACAAATCCAAGTGGGGTGAATGATATTGCCAAAGAATTAAAAATTAACACCATGGCTACTCAACCATTATTCACATTCATCCTGTTGTACATGGAAGAAGAAGGGAAAGAAGATAATACTGCAAGCCTTGAAAATGATAATAGTGGGTTTCTGGGACCATATTGAATTGTGTAATTGACAGGTTATTGGCACGAAATTAGTTGTAGTTCATAAGTACTAGTAAAATGCCACTGCTTGAAAAGGCTTTAAAATTAATACTGAGGAGACTCAGTATTTTAGTCCTTCAGAGGACTAAATTTCTGAAGTAACAACCTCAGATAAGACCTGTACCTTTAGAAAAGCGGAAATGCTCCTATAAAGTAATCTAATAAACTATCCAACATCTATCATTAATTCAAAAGAAATGCTTGTTGAACTATTGTAAAAAATCCAATAAAAAAAGAAAATGGAAGAAAATTTAAGCCAACAAATAAACTCTAAATGTTTAGTGAAGATGTGAAAATAAAAAAGGAAAATGTAGGACAGAAAGAGTTGGGTCACCATACATATAGGGTAACCCAGCATTGTAGAGGGGTCATATGGAAAACAAAAGGTCAGAATACACTAAGAATGGGGGGGGGGGAGCTTCCATGGATATATTCAAAAGAAGTGTATCTAAGAGTATTATGGGAATTAATTGATGGGCTGGAGGAACCTTATATATTATATTTGCAACTGATGAAGTCCAGAGGATTGGAGGACAGAAAATATAATCAAAGAAGAGTGGGATGAGAATCTGGGGACCTAGAATTATATTAGAATGACATCAATAATTAGGAAGCTGTAGATAAAATCATAATGAGATCTATAAGCACCTGGAAAACTGTGATAACGGACAGAAGACAGCATGTCCAAATTATTTACATAGGAAAAAGAAATTAAACCCACAGGTACAGAATGAAGGATACCTGATGAAAGAGTTCACATACCAGGCATGGCAATAAATCTCAACTCTCCCATCAAGCAGTTGGATGAGATCAAAGAAGAAAAACTACACAGATTTCTTTAAAGATTGCCTGGAGTAAATACAGAAACAGAAACCTGGAAAAGTAAATACAGAAACTTGGAAACCGTAAAAGGGACTCCCCACTCTCTTTTATAGTGAGCTCATGGGACAGAGTCTCTGAATAATTTGAAATGCTAAATTGCTTTTTATGGGTTATGTTGCCAATGGGCTTGCCTACTATTTCTTGATTATTTAAGTTTGTTCTCCATTTCATTCTTCTCCCAGCCTCTCTCAAATCTGCCAGGTCTCCAGACATTAGACCTGTGTTCTGAACTTTCTTATGAGAGAAGTTTCACAGACATGACATGGCTAGATAAATTTCACACATATATTTATACAGGAGATCTGCCTACTGAAGAACATACATTAGACATATATATGTTTTCACCAGGGGTTTACATTTTAGTTCTTTTCTTCTATCAATGTTGAGATGAAAGACTTTGCCCACCGTCAGAGTCAGAATTAAAGAATCAGAGGGGTAGAAGATGGAAGCCTTCCGGTAGAACCGCTATCCAAGGTAGGAGACCTTATAATATCCTGAACAAATACTTGTCCAATCTTTTATTGAAAACATTTTTTTTTCTTGAAAAATCTCCTCAGGGTTTATATAATGATTCTGAATGGTCTAAGTACTGATTTTAGCTTTACTACTTTCAGCTCTTCTGTTATCTTTGTAATAGCACTTGTGAAATAATTCTTATAATAGCTAATTAAAATTATATCATGATGTAGCATCACAATAATGATAACAACAGTAATAATATAGACTAACATTTTTCAGGTTTTTCTTTTTTCTTTTTTTGCATGATGTGCTACCAAAATGGGAAGTGGAAAATCTACTGAACTGTCGCATGTAATTATTAAATAAATTATTATATGAAAATAATGTATACCAAAACAGAGAAATATAGCAGAATTACAGCCTGATACTTGCTTGCTAGTTTATGCACAAACCTATCTACCTCTCCTTCTTTAATGTGGATGTCCTTGTGTTTTCCATTTTCTATTATCTTCAGGCACATGTCTCCCTGCAGCTGGTAAAACAACTGTGTAGGAAGGAGGAAAAAATTAGATTAAAAACATGTCAATGTTTTAATACATTGTAGCCTAAGTTCATGAACAGTCATTTCTGGAGTTCTTTTGGCTAGAGCAAATTTTATGGCTCCTGGAAATATCATTTATACTATGAACCTGGCTCACCTTATTGTTCTATATTGTATTCTATATAATATCACAGAAAGCCCACTTCAAGCTCTTCTCAAGTTGTTTGTTGTGACATAGTGAAATGGGAATCATTTTTAACAGTGCATGCTCTATCAAACTTCTTTAGCAAAATGTGCAGCCTATTATATAGTCCAAGTTTATATAGTCCAAATGAGATTCTGGAAGCAATTGCAAGATGGGTCTTCCCTCAGAATATCTATGTAGAGTTCAATTCTATTTTTTTTTTCCAACATGAGGATGATCCAATGGGAAACTGGGGGTTATGGGATCAGATAAGTAAAGTAGCACATAATGTACATGTTATTCTATAAATATATGGAATCAGGAAAAACATTTATTTTTTAAATTTTTGTCTTTGTGCAAAATGAAACATATAAGATTTGTAATATATATATATATATATATATATATATATATATATATGTATGTATGTATGTATGTATGTATGTATGTATGTATGTATATATGTATATGTATATGTATATGTATATGTATATGTATATGTATATGTATATGTATGTATGCATTGTGATCTCCTGGGTCACCAATCCCATTCATCAGACCCAGGCCCAAACCCAACCTATAAACGAAGACAACCACCATCCAGGAACCAGACCACGGCTGCTTCGCCATCTGTCGCACCCCCCGAACCCAAAACCAAACAAGCTGACACATGCCAAGAACATAGACCCAGACCCCAAACTCGAAGCCAGACCAAAACCCAGAATGCTACATCACAGCCACCCAGGATATTGCACCAGAAAACTCAAGAAATTACACCACAAGAACTCAAGAAGTTGCAACACAGCAAACGACCCAGGAAATCACAGCACAAGACCAAGGATACCACAGCAATAAAACTCACAAGGTTTTACTCACAACCCATTACCCAAGCCGTTACAACACAGGAGGCTAATGGAAAAGAGATCAAAACACAAACAACTCAGGAGATCACAACGCAGGATCCGGGATACCACAACAAAAGAACTCGCAAGGCCATCACACAATCCATTACCCAAGCCATTAAAACACAGGAGGCTAATGGAAAAAGGATCACTACAAAACCAACGACCCAAGAGATTACAGCACAAGATCCAGGATATCTCCACAACAAAACTCACAAGGCCATCACACAGCCCATTATACCAACATCAACTCCATCAACCAATCAAGAGGCAGCAGCACAGCCAACCAGCCCAGCACACCAGCATACCAGC